TTTAAAAATACACTTTCATCATTCCAAGATTTCAGAAGAATTTCTACTGGTCCATGAAGTTCAAATCCTAGAATCACTGTTTTGGATGTTTCTTCATCTCTTCAGATTGATTTTTAATGTCCATGATTTATCTCCTTAAGAAGCTAAGTTTGGATGGTCATTCTAAGGAAATAGAACCTTTCTAAGGTCTATGAATAACAATAACAATAATATAATAATAACAATGGCAATAAGGATAGTAATAACAATAACAACTGCCATTTATTCATAACTGTTCTAAACATTTTCCCATCAACTCTTGCATCAACTCTAGAGGTGAGGACTGCCATTATCCTTCTTAGAGAGATGAGCTAGTTCAAACTGAGAGGATTCAAGTAACCCACTCAGGGTCACACAGCCAACATGTGACTTCATGTGCTTGAACCTTAGTCAATGTGTTTAAGACTATATGATCTTCACCACAAGACTATGATCACCAGGAAGGTGCAGGTGGAGCCCATCCTGTTAGAACCAGCAGAAGGGAAGGTCCCTCCTTGGGGGGGTTTCTAAGAAGCAGCTGACTCTGCCCAGTGGGAAGCACCCCCTGATAATAACTACAAGAAGCAGTCACAGGTGATGACCTCGCTCAGTCGCAGGAATGGCAGCTCAGTCCTCTGCCCCTGTGGACCCGAGTCACTCCGAGACAGCTGCCTCCTTGCTGCTCCCTTTTTGAGAAGTCCCTTTCTGACCCGGTCACACTGCTTTGTTAGGATCAAGCTAGAGACGGCGAGCGCGCCCTCATATGCATGCGTTCCTCTGCATTTCGTGGCCCCTCTTGCAGTCATATTGGCTCCATGACTAGGTCCGGCTGAAAGAGATGACACATGGCCCTTTGGAGCTAAACATGGGTAAGCATCTGGGATGCCTTCCCCACACTTCTTCTTATCCCCCTTTCTGCCAGCTCAGTGACTTAAGAGTGACTAGAGGACACAAGGTGGCAGGACCAAGCTGGAAGCACCCCGGGGCCTCAAGCCCCTGCCTGGATGGCAGCCACCTGGAGGAGAGTTACCTGGGCAACAGCCCAACCTGCACCCACACGACCTGAACAAGAAATCCGCCTCCGTCGGCAGGCCATGGGTTGTCTGATGCCCAGCCTATGCTGACCGATACAGCTTCCTTACTGAAAATGTGATCACGTGGTTGTGTTTTAGGTGAACTCAGGTATAGCAATTTCTGTGTGTGTGTCTATCTGTGTGTTTACATGCGTGTGGCCTAAGAGGATTGATCCGTGAAGGATGGACATGCTGACCTGATAGTGGCTCGGTGGCCAGTGGGGCACCGTTGCTGGACACTGGAGGTTGGAGATGTCTCCCACCACTAAAGCCTGGAGGGCCATCAGGATGGTTTTCCCCAGTGAATCTGAGGATCACAGATCCCTCCTTAATGTCAGGAAGGTCTATCTGAGCTGAAAGGGACAGGGCAGAATATTTTGTTCTGTAATTTTGCAAAACACAAGATACTCAGGGGCTTATCACTTGGTCTTCTTGCACCTCAGCTGGGGGGCTGACCAGTTATTTTTCTGGAGCCTGGGTGTCATCTGGGAGGCTGTAACTAGGGTCAATATTCAAATCTCATGGTGCTCAGATGGTGACCACCAGAATCACATGATTTTCATGCTGCAGGAGAAGTAAGCACCCCAGCCAAAGGAAAATCACTGCAATGAGAACTCGGGGTGTCAGAGGCCTTGAGGAGCCCCCTGCCACAGCCCCTCACAGATTCCTTCCTGAGTCCAAAGACCTTGAATGGGTGTCTCCTGTCTGAGTTTCACCTTCTAAGCTGTCTTCCCCATTCATCTCATACATCTCAAAGAAAACGGGAATAACCATATCTTTCCAATTTGCCTTTCAAGACTGAGATGAAGCCAGGAAACTTTGGTCCAAGTTACATGAGTTGGGGGCTTTGCATCACATGTAAAAGACAGAATGAAAGGGCTCCCCTGGTTTCTACATTAGGAGAAATAGTGGGACACCAGGTTTTGATCCTAGAAGCTTGTTGAGAAATGGCCTTTTAAAGACGAAAGGAAGTCTAGTCAGTGGAAAGGAGAGTAGAATAAAGAGTTATTTAGATGTGAAGAAAATAAAAGGCTTTAGAACAACTGAGGGAAAGATGTGTCAGAGTGAACAGTGAATAAAATATTAGGGAAATAAAAGGAGTGGAGGTGACCATCAGTAACGGTTAAGGTAGGAAAAGATAAGTCATTGAGAAATGAGCAGAAAGATGAAAAAGGATAAAAGGAAATGTTACAGTCTGAACAAAGAGAGCAGGAAGCCGTGGACAGAATAAACATTCCCTGTAACCTGCTGAAAGCGGAACACAGCATTGGTTGAATCTAAGTCTGAGGTATGAGCAGATATACTATGTCTGTCAGGCAAAGAGACAGCACTTTCCGACAAGTTTACGGAATGGTGAGAAGACATCGATTGATTGAGTATGCTGTGTCCACACCTTCTGCAAAACAAAACCCACAGTGACTGGGAGCCAAAACTGTTAAACAGCGCAAAGGTGAAGGGAAAACAGAAAACACAAATGCCTTGAGTGGAGCTCAAGATTATGTTACTAACCTGGTTTATTTTGAACCTTTGTTATTACCTAGAATATCAGCATATATGTATATGTCACTAAAATAGCCCTAACCATTTCCTGGACATTTGAAATGTAACCTCAAATATCTAAATAGTTTTAAACTTTCTGGTTCTGTTTGATTCTGAATTGTCACCCGGATGTTAGCTTGAGTCAATATTGTCTTCCTTCTGAGAGTGCCCACCGCCCCCTGATTTCTTGGTTAATTGTATTTTTCAGAGAGAGAGAGAAGGGTCCTGTGCTGAACTGTAAGGAAACGCATGGAAGAAACAGAGACGGAGAAGAGGGAGAGGGCAGGAGGGAAGTGGGGAGACGGAAAGTGGCAGCTGGTTAGGGGGAAAGTCCATTCAATATTTGGGCTTTCTTTTCTCTTAGAAGTGGAATGAGAGTAATACATTGCTAATACGTCTGGAAATCTAGATTTTCCCAACCAGTATTCTATGGGAATTCTTGAGTATGGAGAATTTCATTCTTCATTTGGGCATAATTAACCCTATTCACAGGGTCTATCCTGGTAACAGCCGACGGTCATCGCTTTGAGATGAACTCAAAAATACCTAAGCAGATCTGCTCCTTGGATTTACTTGTTACCCTAGTCAGATGTTTGGAGCCACAGTTGCACTGAGAGTGGGGCTAGTCAGATTTTGCTGATCCAGCAATTCACGCACTGATTTATACATAAAATTTCAAGTTATCTAAAAATTCCATGTCACTGATTTTTCCAATGCTATCTTTGATAATCAACCCAGTTCCATTTAGCATTTACTAGCTTACACAGAACCAACAATCATAACCTCCTTAATTACTGAGGGGATTAAAATAAAAAAACACAGACAGAAACAGAAATGTGATACTGGAATGTACAGTCTGGTCTAGTTTAAATTAAAAAGATCCCCCAAAGTATGATTGTTCCCAGCTTCTCAGCGGTGAATTAAAAGCTGTTTGGTGCCATGAAGATCACAGAAGCAATCACATTTACGGGCCTGCTTTGCATACCAACTCCACTAATTTCCATACTCAGGGTGGCTTCACATTTCCACACATGCTAATATAGATGCAGCTTGGGATAATCACTTGGAAAAAAAGAGAAAAGGAAAAGAGAGAGATGAGACAAGAGGAGTGGAGAGCCAGGAAAATGGTTCTCTGAAACAAGTTCTGTTTGAAATATATTGATTCTGATAAATAGGAGAATCAAAAGATAAATGAGAGTTCCTGCTGGCCTGACCCAGGAGTGACACCCTGGAATCAAATGAACATGGAATCACATCTTGGAATTCACTTATTGTGCCCGTCCTGCCCCTTGTCATTACAGACTCTAATTATTGAAATGATGCCATTGGTGTAACTGCATCAGGATGTGCGTGGACTGTCACCTCGCAGGGCTCCCTGGATGCTCAACACTGCATCTTCGTTACTGTGTTCCCTTTCAACTCTTAAAATGTGTTCCAGCCTCACAGAACAATCCAATCAAGGAGGCTGTTTTGTCTCCTTTCTTTAAACGTGCCAGCCACCTAGCACCGGAAGAAGGAACGTATTAGTCTGGAAGGCGAACCTGAGACTGTAAGGGCAAATGGACAATGATCTTCCCTAAAGGGACCTTAGAGCGTCTGACCAAATTAAACCCCTGTTTTCGTATACTTCATTCCCAAATGTGAAAGAATGGTGCTCAAGAGCCTACAAATAAATGGTTATTTGTCTACCATCAATTTCAATTCCACTGCGCCAGAACTATGCGTGTTACTCATTTAGCAATGCACTCCATGCCCCCATAAAGATGAAACAATATAATATTAGCATTAAAAAGGAAGAGTTATAACTACAGATCTGAGGGGAGCATTTTTAAGGAAATTTATTGGAATTTGGGAGAATTTGAATTTAATCCAAAGAACATCCAGGAGAGTTTTGAGTCTTTCAAAAGACCACATTATTAGTCTTAAGAATATAATTTTTGCATTTCTGAGCCTAAAGCTTCTGCCCTTAGCATTATTTTGATCTACTGCTATGAATGAGAAATCCAGGTAGAACAGAGACTCATAGGAAGGCAATGGTTTTGCTCTCAGGGAACTTCCCAGAGGAAATGGATTTCATGTCTTCTGCACAGAGCAGTTCTCACTTTGGAGATTGGCAGTCCCCTTTCCTGGAGTGGTGGGAAAATGCTCTCTGATGATAAAATACTAAAAAGGGAAAGGCCCAGCTCTATTCAAATCCAAGCTGACAAAGTACTAATTCAAGACCTTCCGGCCTAGGTCAAGCAGTGACATAAGGAAAGTAATCAGAGAACACTTGGTTTAGGGAATACCACATCCTGAGACACATTCTTAGACACTGGCAAAATCAAATATGAGAATGGGCCAAAAGCATTCTCAAGCGACATTGCTTACAGTTTAGAACCTCCTGGTCCTCGATGAAGGCAGCTGGCTGATTGACATGGTACACTTTCTGCTGGAATCCAGGAGTGCACTCCAAACCTTCTGCAGCTCTCAGTGGCAGCACCTGAGAAAACCAAAACCATCAATATTTAACAGCAGCTCGTGTGTTTGCCCTGCTAACTTCCACTAGATCTGTGGCTTTTAGAAATGAGCTGAGGTTTTAATTTCATTTTCCAAATGAAGAGGTAAGTTGATACTTGTCCTGTGGCTGCCAGCAGTTCCTTCTGGCAGAAGGAGAGCTGGAAAACCCGCAAATGCGAACAGTTGCTGCAGTTTTTGTTAAGTTGCAGTTAAAGAAAGAACTTCGTCAGATTTTTACACCTGCTAAGAATCTCACCATGGTTTGCATGTGTGAAATATCTTTACAGAAATTGCCAATTTCATATGACGCCTGAGCTAAAACCAACTTCACTTTCAGAGATGCAAAGGAGCCCTGTCATCTACAAAGATGAGGAGACGATATAATGGAACTATTCCACTGGAAGTTATCTCTAAAAGGAATGCACACTAGACCTTCCCAGTCCAATACGGCAGCCATGAAAGACACGTGGCTTCTGAGCACTTAAAAGGTAGCTGAGCTGAACGTGTCAGCAAAAAATAGGTGCTGGATTTTGAACACTAAATACAAAAACTAATATGAAGTCAACTATTGAATTAATGATTTATATATGGATTACATGTTGAAATGATAATATGCTACAGATTGGACTAAATAGATACATTATCAAAATTAATTTTCACCTTATCTTTTTACTTTTGTAAGTTTGGCTATAGATAATTTAAAATTAATGATTGTTTCCTAAAGATCAGTTTTGCCTTTGCAAATCCTTGGGGCAGTTGATCTAGGAGTCAAAAATTCAGGTTACATGTTTGGAACATAAAAGTATGTGATACACTCCCGTGTCACTATGTGACACAGGGTGATTTCGTAAGGTAAGAAATAGTTGTAGGCTTAGTAGGCAAAGACTGTAAGTCCTGTGAGGATAGATAACCTTTCTTTCCCCCACCTTTTATGCACTAGCACAGAAAAGATGCTCCATAGTACTTATGATGTTGACATTCTTCAGCTTTTACTGTGTGGCAAGTACTGTGCTAAGTTTGTCATATGCATTATCTCGTTAGTCTTCACAACAGCCCGATGATGTATTTGATCAATTATAAGATACATTGTACAGACAGGGGCCTGACTGACATTCTGGAGAGAGTAACACATCTGCCCAACATGGTCTGGTTAGGTGGGTGGAGCCAGGATTTGAATCCAGGTTTAAGCATCCTCTGACTGGAGATGCAGTCAGGCTCCGCCCACACCCCACAGGCCTTCCTCGTCACGGGTGGGACTTTATTTTTTTGCCTGAGATACTTCTCCCAACCTGTAGAAGGCTGCTTTATCGGAGCACAGCACTAGCAGACAGTGCTCACAAATCCACATCCCCAGGAGCAGCCCTTGACCGTGACTGATGAGAACTGGGGCACAAATACTCCAGCTCCCTCACCCCTCACGTGCACTACCTCACGGGCAAGCGCCCTGCTTCCCATTTCCCACTTGGAACTGAGCTCAGGCTGCCCGCCCGGTATCTGGCTTGATGATTCGCCCTCCACTGGCTTCCTTCTCTTTCTTGGCTCATTTCCTCATTGCCTGTTGGTACTTTTCTGACACCACCCTCCAGACAAAACTACTCACCCTCAAACCTTTGACTCAATGTCTTCTTCTTGGGGAACCAAACGCTGGTGCCAGAACACAAACTCTTAACCACTGCATACAGGATGCTGAAGAAAACTCATTACATCCCTACCAGTGCTCTCAAAGGAGGGCACGAAAGGCTGGAAGCTGTGGGACCAGGGCCTCTCTCTAAATATCAGTCTTTGAAATGCACTGAACCCCAAGGAATGAGAGCAAAGAATCAATCTCCAGAGGTTCATGGTGTGACTGGCCTCAGACACATCAGAGAAATTGAATTGGGAGAGTCATCACCCTGGCTGACTTCATCTTTCTAGAATCAAAGGGGAAGGATGCCGTGGTCCCCTATCTCAGCGGTTGTGCTTGTAAAGCTTTCCCCTTGCCTTGAGAGCAGGCTCTGGGCAGATGGCTTCTGAGGCAATCATAATGCTGACATCCCAAGTGGTACACAGAGAATGCAGATTCAGGACTTGGAATATTTGCTGGAAATTTTGCAAGCAGAAAATCTATAACTAACCAACACTAATTCAGTTAAATAGCAAATGGTCAAAGGCTGCCTCCAGGCACCCTGTGTCTACAATTATATGTTAACCTTCTAATCAGCTAATTCTACCCTCAAATCCAGGGCCAGTAGACCAGGCATCCCATAGGAACTGAGGGAAATGACATTTCCCTAGCGGGTCCTAAGCATATGAGTCCAGAACTGACTGGAAGTGCAGGTGAGCCGAGCCCCCATTCCCCATTCTCATCTCTCCACAGCTCAGGCGCTGTCCTGATTCCTCGGCAGGCTCTATTCAGATTCCTCCGGAGTCACAAGGAAAAATAAACCCTTTCTAACTGCTGGCCCTCAGGAAGGCTGAGGGGTGAAAGGACTCCCAGAGGCTCAGCTTTGGTTTTGCAGACTCTTGGGTCACTCCATTCACCAGTCAAAATGCAGGTTAAATGCTTTGTACTATGAAAGCACGCAGCACCCTCCTGGGCAAGGTGTGACTCAGCAAGGAGAGAACAGCCAAATGATTCATTTGGCCACTCCTCTTGGGCTCATTCATTCACTTATTTCCAAATGTATATTAAAATCCTGGGATCCATGAGCATTTTGCTAGGGGCTGTCCTGGAGCTTAGAGAGCCACTATAATGCAGTGCTTAAAACACCGACTCCATAGTCATTTTATGTGGTTCAAATCTTAGCTCCTTCCTTTACTGACTGAGTGACTTGGCACTTTTCAGGGTTGCCCTGTGTCTCAGTTTTCTCATTTTGGAAAAATGAGATGTACATCGGGAGGAGCTGGGTGGATTCAGTGGGGTTGCTCATGTGGAGCAGTTGGAGCAATGCTGCCGAGAGTAAGTAGGCAGGAAGTGCTAACTGTTCATGCAGACTAGATGAGGTGACAGGCATTAACACATCACAAGTGAATTAACTGATCAACTAAAATCAAATTTTACCTTGAGTTTATAGGTCTCTTAGAGGGCATGCAAAAGCTAGGAGACAGAGAACCTAATTTCATTGGGGGGTCAGGAAAAGCAAACCCACCGAAGGGACATTTTTGCTAGCATCTCAAAGCAGGGTCAGAACTAGCTAGGTAAATGGAGAGGAATATAGGCTCATCTTTTTAAGTAACACACTCTTTGGTTTCATGTAAATTCCTTCATGCCTATTTGGGTTTTGAGTAATACATCTCTGAAATTAAAAAACTGCATTTCAAAAAGAATCCAGACTAATTTAGGGTTTTCCAAAAGCTGAATGTCTGATTGGACAGTAGTGGTAGAATATTCTAGTTACTTCTATTGTCTCCTGACTTTCTGGCAGAACTTAAGCAGTCTCTGTGCAGGAACTTGTCATGAATAGCCACTCTTCAATTTCAAGTGCACTGAGTTTGGTGTGATGGGCTCTGAAGAAACAGCCCTCACTGCTTTGAAAGTGAATACTTGGACTTTGCTTCAAAACTAGATAAGCCCATCTTCAGATGTCACTCCTTCGAATGTACTTCCTGGACACACTTCTCCCTAAATCTTCTTTAACATTTCTAGAATATATGCTATGAGCAACATTACAAATTTATCTTTAATGCCACGGCAATAATAGTCTTCCTGTATGATTTTTTGTTCATTTATGCATTAGCTTGCACCTCATAAACAACAGGCGACTGATACACCTTTGAAAGCTCAGCAATGGCCAAATTTTATGACCACCGAAGGATTTCTATTAGTTGAAAATTACAATCAGCCTGCTCATGAAAGCAGATTCATGTTCAGACTAACTATAAACACAGGAGAAAACCACACTGGCTCTGTATGAATCTCTGTTCACCAGCTGCCATTCACCAACTATAACCTCTGACAAACAACCGTCTGTGTCTCAGTCTCCTCAGACAGAAAACTGGAACAGCAATAGCATCTTACAGGTTATTATGAGGATTAAATGAGTTAATTATCATTAAGAGACTTACATAGTATGGGCATGTAGTAATTGCTTGACAAATGCTTGCTAAAATTATTATTATTTCTATATATTATGTTTAAACCAACAGACATGATTCACTGATATTTCCCCATGGTAGACATGGATAAATATCATCACAATGTTACTTTTGTTGCTATGATAAAACTGTTCCGTGAATAGACTGTGCTCAGAAATATTCAAAGAGAAACAGCAAGGACCTGAATCAGGTAGAAGATCAGAAGGAATTTGCATCTCGGGGTCAGCTGCCCGGTGAAAACACGGATGCCTGGTGTGGGCTAAGCTGCTGGCTCTAGCGGAACCCCAAGCAACCTCTCAAATGGCAGCTCAGAGCCCTGCCCTCTGTGTAAAGCCACTGCCCTAAACTCACACACAGACAGCAAATCCCTACATCACGCTCTTTACACCTGTTTCTTTTTTTTTTAGCTTCCAGTTCTTTGCTGCTGTTCAGAGCTTTCTCTTTTTAAAACGAAAGGGTTTGTGTTTATCCTGACAGGTACTGACTCAAGAGCATAGCCAACTTTGGAATTTGCTTCCAGAAAAGTGATTTTTCTCTGTCCCAGATGGCAGGTTGCCAAGTGGCAGCATATGGGATGGATGTGGCCAACAGATGTGGTTAGTTTAGCCAGAACAGTCTGTCGCAGAAGTTAAACTATCACGTTACACAGAGCGCACCATTCCGAGCTGGCCTTGTCTGCACCACTGTGTCACCGCGCCTGCTCACAGGACCCCGCTGCGCCCTCCTCTGGCCCTCCAGCCATCTGAGTTGGCAACCGCGACCCAACGCTTTGGAAATAAGCTCTTCAAGCAAAGAACCCTCTTGTCCTGAATCTTTAATTACCTGTCATCAGAGTGCCCATAGAGGTGTGCTCCTGGCTCTGCTGTAGTAATTGACCATGTGACTCAGCACGGGCCAACAGAAGGAGGG